GGCTGGCTGGTGCTGCTGCTGAGACAAGTGAAAACGTGTACCCAGCGCTGTGCCGGCCGGTAACAGTGCGCAGGGTGATTGCCTCCAGCTATTGATGGAGCAAGAGACAAATGCTAATATCTAATGCCAGGCAAATACTGCTGCAGCAAAGCTGTCAGCGTGAGCACCGTGGCTTCTGATTGAATGGAAAGGTGCCCATCAGCAGGAGGTTGGTCTTTTGTCTCCAGCTGTGTGCTGATGCTTAAGCAATGTATATGAGTGGCAGAAAAATTTGGAGGTTAAACTGGAGCTTAGGGTGTCCTCTGGAGTCAGACAGTGACTGTGGAAGGCAGGCCTTTCAAAGCTTTGTATAGAGCAGTAAAAGGTTTGATTTAGAAGGCTTCCCTGGGAGCAGGAGGTTCACTCGGTGTCAAGAAGGGACAATTGCTGAGTCTAGCAAATAATAAGGGTCCTTCCTCTAGGTTAAATAGCCCATATGTTGCTATCATTATAGGGGGACGTGCAATTTCATAACAGTAGTCTGGAGTTACTCCAGGTTTGGTTGAAGGCGTCAGGCTGTACCACAGCAGCACAAGGATTGCAAAGTGAGCTGCTGTCCTTGAGGGTGCCAAACTATGGGTGACACTTGGCCTGATCGGAAGGCTCATTTGCTCTGCTCCTGGCAGGGCTGGGAGCAGGGCAGGGGCTGGCCCCAGTGGTCTGCTGCTGGCCGTGGGACCCACGTACGGGAGCAGCAGCCTGCTTCAGCTCTCGTCTTCACCAGGCGCTGGTCTTGCCTCGTCCCTTGTCTGCGCTGACCCTGGCTGTATTCCTCATCAAGAGAAGTGCTAATATTACATGCCAGGGAGGGGAATGGCAGCTGTAAAACGCTGTATTGGTAAATGTCAGGGGTGCAAAAATAAGTGCTAAGTTGCAGGGGGATGTTTCCTGGTGAAATGGGAATGGTTTAGCATGCTGGCTGCTGCAAAGCAGCTGCTCAGCTGTATTAAACCATTAGGAAATAGCTTTGAAATTACTATTAAGAGCCTTTTCAAAATTACTTGGAATTTCTTTGGAATAACTGAAAAATTGTTTGCAACGTGGGTTTAGATTTTCTGCTCAGCTGAGGCCTTCTCCGGTTGGTCACACTGTCATGTTGTACCTCTGGAGGAGCGAGAAGGGGGCTGTCTGGGTGTGAAGGTGCTTATGCCGATGGCCAAGAAGCTTTGGACCATCTGGTGAGAAAATGGACCCAGCCAAGATTATAACAAGCATTTTGAGGATGCCTTGGATTAATGTTTGCTGTATCTTTTTCTACAAAAATAAACAGGCGTGTGATAAAAATAAGAGACTGCGTTGTGCAGCCTAGCAACAATTTAAAATTCTCCTGCAGCTTGAGCAAGTGCACAGCAGCAGAGTACAGGTAGTCCTGGCCAGGCAGGCACAGGAACGGTGTTTCACCTCCTGAGAAGCGAAGAGCAGAGCGGTTTCTGCGAAGGAGTGAATTTTTAGTGCTTTCTGTTTGCAGAAAACCCTTGCATCCTGGTTCACGCTGTAGCATTGACGTGGGTTCAGGATTGGAGTGTGTTTGCAGTGAGGTAGCGTAGGAGCTGCTTTCCTTGCAGACTGGGGCATGCCAGGGCTCAAAGCAAGTTCGCGGTCGCTCCTCGAGCCTGATCCCACATCCTACGCCCAGCCCTGCCGTCCAGCTTTTCCCCTCACTGCCTCTGCTCTTGTCGGCCCCGCTCTCAATTAATTCAGTTCAGTGGCTTGCTGGAAAACTCTTTTGTTTCTAATCTGTTTGGTTTTCTGCCAGGATAGCAAATGCATTGGTTCGGTGATGGAGCAGCACATGCTGAGGCTGGTGCCAGCATAGGACCGCTGGGGAAGCAGCGAGCTGTGGTAGCTCAGGTACTGTCAAACCTTTCACGCTAGCATGGAGACGATGATGGTTGTGGAGCACAGAGTTAGTTGTATGGTGTCAATCAAATGATCAGATATTCTGATAGCAAATCCCCAGTTGCTGGAAACTGAGCTTTGGCAATTGTGCTTTGTTGTAAAAGTTTCTCCTTCCACCTACATAAAATCCAGCTTTAAACTCTGTTGTCCTGACCCCTGCCAGACGAGTTCTTGTTGCTCCTGAACAGAAGGTGACAGTGGAGCAGAATGTCATACAGGCCATCTCCTGCGCTGGAGCCTGCATCATTATTTGTCATCTGCTACAGATTTGACGGAGCTTACAATGGGCATAAGAGCTTAATCGCAATACTCACACAGACCTTGAATAAGCGCTTAGGCTAAAAATAAAGTTTTATTTTGGAGAATAAGCAGCTGGTAGTACTTTGCAGCTGAGGCTGCGTTTCTTGACACATGCAAGATACTGAAAGAATGAAGCATTTTTCTTCGGGCTGTCGCAATAACAGAGATGCTATCATGTCAGAGCTGCTAATGCTTTGAGATGAAGTTTTATTCTTGAGACTAAATTACACAGCCAGGGGAATTATAACCATTTCTAATTACTGTAGCTAAAGACTTGACATTTTAGCCAGAAGTTCTGCAATCTTTCACAGTTCGGAATGATTAAAGTAGAAATACGCTAATGATCTTTAGCCTTTCTTTTTGCTTGGCTGTGAAGACATGTTCTTCTCACTTTTACTCTGACTAAAAATAATCAGGCTTTTTGATATCAGATGAAATTTGCCTTTGTGACCTGGATGCCCATGTATGAGCATTGTTGGCGGTCCCTGCTTATTGCTCCTGCAGCTGCATAATGGCTGTGCGTGGGTGGAGTGGCACTGGTGGGCGCTTGGGTGGTCCCAGTGGATTTGCTTTGGGCTGGAAACATTAAGCCTGTTTGAGGGTTGAACAACATGAAGGCTGTCAAGTGAGCAAGCAGTCGGGAGATGTCCGAGAGGTCGTGTCTGCTCTTGGGCAATGTGGCTGTGGCTCTATTTGCCTTGGAGGAAGGGCAGGGTGAGGAGGCAGACTGGAAAGAAGAAATGTGCTGTTTTCTTCTAGGCCTTTGGAGTGGCACTTGCCCAGAGATGATAGTCATGATCTGTTTTCCAGCTTTTCTGCTGGGTTGCAATGTCTGCCAGGTCATTTGCACCCCTGCTTTCTAGTGCTGGCCTTGCCCGTGAACACTTCACTGTCTTGCACAGTACTGTTTCCTGCACTTTTACTGACCAAATTTGTGATTTTTGGGCTGCCTGCTGTATGGTTTTTGAATGCTTTTCATCAGGAGAAGATGGCTAGACTTCTTTCCCTGGTTTACATCTGGAAGATGATCAATTTCTCATTGCGAAAGGAAGAGCTGCCATTTTTGGACTAGAAGCATCCATTCAAAAAGGCTAGCGAGGTGCTGACCCTGGAGGACAGCAAATGCAGAGACTCTTCCTCTCGCCTCATTTGCAGGAAAAAGTCTAGTAATGACTGAATCATGTATGTTTATTGAGCAAGATGTTTCAGTAATTAACATATGGGAATCTCGATTCTGTTGAAATCTGCCAGCAGCTCGCTACGGGACTCCATGCAAGTGGCTTTCTTCACCGGACCTTGCTCCCCTGCCCGTAAGTGAGGATACGGTCAAGAGGCCACACAGGAGGGTTGTAGCTTAGCTGAATTTCTCATTAATGCTGAAATTTAGTGGATGCAGACTTAAGCTGATCAACACTGCTGTCAGCCCATGGGACAGCAAGTTGTTGGTGACTGCCCAGCAGTGTAGGTACGTCTCTCTAAAATAACAGTGCTAACATCAAGTCAAGCCGGTGGATGCTCTACACAACAGGTCTGCTGAAAAGTGTCCCACCTTCAGCCACCACTGTCTTCTGGTGCTTCAGGAGATCAGTCTTATGCTATCCTCCTCTTGAGCAGAGCGCCAACAGCTCAGCCTCGGCTGCTCTTTCTGAGCCAAAGGGGATTGGCAGATGTCTTCGAGCATGAAGTTTGAACGTCTCTGGACTTGCCAAGCTGCACCTGCTCTGTGCTTGTGTTTGTGCACCTCTTCTCATGATCCCACCCTTGAGTTTCCTTCCAGGATTTCCAGCATCTCATCAGATGAACTCTGAGTAGGGAAAAAAAAAACAACAAAACAGGAGGAAGGATTTGTATTGAAACCAATAAACCAGAAAGTTCATGGGAATTGATTGTTTTGTGATTGTTGCTCTGTGTAAAGTACAGAGGGAGCAAGACACTGAAGAGGAGGGAGAAGGAATTCCAGCTGCTTGTCTTTGGAGGAAAATATGCTGTGTTAGTAATAATGGGAAAACAACGTGAAGGACTTTCCTTGCAAGAGAAGAGTAACCTCCGTGCTCAGAGCAGGCTGTATGCTAGGAAAGGCTTTGACCAAAGCAGACTACATCATGGTCACTGGCTGACCTAAGAAGATCCCTTGCAAGTTCTGGGGCGTATTAATGCCTATGGGGAGAGTCAAATCCCATGGTGCAAAACGGGTATTTGCATCTGTCCATGGGTGAAACACAGAAAACAGTTGAACCTGTCTGTTGAGGTCATTGTTAGGAGAGCTCTGGTTCTGGAACAGAGGCAGCCGCCTCTTTTTCTTCCCTACTTGTATAGCTCAGATGTACATAAAAACAAACAGAATTTTTAAGAGCATCCCAGCTTCCCTCCCTCGTGAAGGATTTAAACTTTGTCATTCCCCAGCCAGGATTATGTATTCAGCATATGAGTTGTCAGTCTGGGCGCTGGAATAAGGATAAATTCCAGGAGGGGTTTATAAGGAGGGAAGTGCAAGCAGCCTTGGTGTGCAACTGTAGCACTAGATAGACCGCAAGAAAATTAGACTTCACAGATGCTGACATCCTATGTGGTCAATGCTATAACCAAAATTTTACAAGCCACAGGTTCTAACAGACCTCTGTGGTGTGCAGAGATTTTTAAGTTGAAATTCATGTGCGTTGCATTTGTTCCAGAGAGAAAACCTTAAATTGAGGCTTTCTTCTTGGCTGTGGCAGTAACAGTTGGTTCGATTTATTTCACTGAAGAGGCACATTTGTATGCGGGTTTGCAAGGGCTGTGAGCGCTGGAAGCGTTTGCTGTCGGACTGGGAGATCAGCCCCTGTTCACAGGCTCTTGCAGACCTACCCTGCTTTTTCAGGTCTGATCTCTTCCTAATGGTGTGCTGCCTGGTGCCTTGCTGGGGAAGACAGGGCAGGGCTGCCTGTGCTGCTCACTGCCTGAATCGGACAGTGTTTGGTGATGAGTAAACGTGGTGGAGACTGCTGCAGTGCCAACGGGGAGAGATGCTGGGCCGGTGATAGCTGCTGCTCAGGCTTGCTGTCGCTGCCTTTGCTGAGGCTGTGTGTGCAGACCGCTGTGCTGATGGACGCTGACCTCTGATGGGGAAGGAGCTCCCAGTTCCAGGGCTGGCCTGGCGAGTGGAGGTGACAAAGCTGTGTCACAGGGCCTGGGAGAAATAATTGAGCTCACTGCTGGCACTGCTCCTGAGTGCTCCTGCTAATGGGGCGCAAGAATCGGTTTGGTCCCTGTGCTGTGGCAGAGGGCCAGCCCTACAGGAGGACCCCAGTCAGTGCTTTCTCCATGACCTGGCATCTGGAGCTGCAAAATGCTTGTTGTATTTAGAGGAAAAATTCTCAGTTGAAATGACAGTCCATTTATGTTCCCTGGAAATTCTTTCTGTGGACCCTGACCACCCTTGTTGCCTCTGGTCTTGAGTAGCAACAGGAATTGCAGTGGGTCCTGGTCCTGCTTCTGGAAGAGCATCACTTTACTTTCACAGCAAGTGGCTCACAAATAAGGTTTTGACCTTTTCTTGTCAAGCCTAATTTGTCTTGATTTTTATCACATGGCAAAACCTTTGATTTTTTTTTTTTTTTTTTTTTAAAAAAAAAGCTTTGAAGCTTGTCATGTGAGCAGTGGAACAGAGGACATGATTCATGAGTGCATCTCTTTCTCCCCGTTCCCCTTCACCCCCCATCGCTTTCTTGCCGTGGGGATGTTGAGCACTATTCTGGCCAAAGCTCTGTTGACACTAACAGGAAAATGGAGTCGTCCCAAAGACGAGACCCACCGCAGCAGGAGAGGAGCATTGGCTTCATTTCAGCTGTTCTGTGTTCACGCCCTGCAATGCAGAGCTCACTTGGCAGAGCTGTTTGCTCCCCTTGCAAGGGAACAAAGTACTTGTCCTCTTTTAACACAATGCTTAAGCAAGAAGGGGAACTAAAATTTTGGCAGTGTGGGCTTTTTAGAATGGGGTGGGAAGTTCATGGGTTTGTTTTTCCTGGTTATTTGTTTGCCTGTTGAAGTTGCTCAGAAGAAGTTGTCACTCCCTTCCTCTTTGGAAGCTGCTGACTTCTTGACAACAGAGTTGTGAATCCCCTGCCCTTCCTCCTGTCTGTCTGGTACAGCCGAAGCAGCAGCATCACCCAGCCGTGAGCATAGCGAGCCCGTTCCCAGGGCTCAGGCTGCCTTTCGTGCTAGCGAGACCTGCTCTTGATCTGGTGTCTGTCCGTCCTGTCCTGCTGATGGGGTCCCACCTACACTGCTTCGTCCCCCTTTCCTGCTCAGGCTGCTGAGACTGGGCTGATGTGCGTGAAGGCCGTCTGTGAGACAGTGATTTTTGTGCCTGTGGTCTGGAAATGCCAGCATAGACTGATGTTTTAGTTTGTTCAGCTACTCAAGAGGTTCAATTAAAAAAAAAAAAAAAAAAAATCAAGCTGCTGGATCATGCATGCTAGATAATTCCAGGCTGTGGATTGCTTCTTGCTAAATCGTTGGTTCAAGGTTCAGATTAGATCTCTTCTAAGTAATAGCTATTAATTATTTCTTGGGTTTTTTTCTAGTACAAGTGGGGACAGCGCCTTGTAGTATGGAAACCTGAGGGCAGGCCCCAGCTCCAAACCTGCTATTATACTGAATAAAAACAAAGGGAG